AGAGGAGCATATTGAAATAGATGAAAAGACTAGTGAGAGATACTAAGAAGTAGAGGGTATGGAAGAGAATAGTTGGAGATAGAGAGGAAAGGAAGATTCAATGAAAATGAACGAGAAGGAGATGAAGAGTCGAAGAAACTAATGGCATGTTTACTAATTCGTAATTGGATTATGAGGAATTGAATTGAAGATGAATTGAATTGAAGAGGAGTTGGATTTAGGAGAATTAGACTCTGGATTCCTATTGAATTTGTTTACTAAACCATATGGATTGAGGAGATTTAGATTCCGAATTCCTATTGAAATTGTTTACTAAATCATATGGAATTAGGGTAGGAGTGGTACTAATTACTAAAATGTCCTCGTTATTAGATTAAAATACATGACAATTTTGGAATTTTTAAAATTGTGTGAAGATATAATGGGTAAAAAGATGAAGTCCTAATGGGTTAGTTCTCCAGGAATTAGAATATCACCTCCTACCCAAGAATTGAATTCCTACAAAATCAGGAATTCAATTCCTAATTTTGTGTGGGCCCCACTTACTTTTCAATTCCTTGATGTGAAGTAAATGTAGGAATCTTCCATAGGTGGAATTCAATTCCTTATGAGAATTTCAATTCCTGATTAGTAAACACATCATAAGAGAAGAGAAAGAGGAGGATGCGCAACAAATAATGATAAGGGTTCTTTCTTTGTTGCCTTATCCATATGAGTTAAGGTTTCACTCTTAGTTTAAAGATGAGTGATGCTAATACCCATTAAATATATTTAGTATATGCTTTTAACACAACAAAGCTTGTTAGCATGGTGGTGTAGCGTGCAAGAGTTCTAAATTGGCAGCAGGGGTTCAATTCTCCTTGGTTCCAATGTTGGAATATTAAGTTAATTTTTACCTTTGGTTCAGTTCAGGTAAACTAGCGGTCAAGGGAAAGATAAATCATAGATTGGATCGAAGAGATTGGTTCGATTCACCACTGAAAATTGAAAAATAACAAATAAAAAGCTCATATGTTAGAAAGACTGCAATGATTCATCTTCTCTTGTATTAACTATTCCATGGTTTGAATAAACATTATTAATTCCTTGAAGATGGAAAACCCATATTAAAGGGGGGGGGCCCCCCCCCCCCCCCCCCCTTTCCCAAGCTCGATTTCAGACTCCAGCGAGAAAACCGAGCCCTGCAAGGGCATGGGACCTACTAGCCTTGGCAAGTCCACAGGCAAAAATGGACTGGGCTATTGCCCGAAGGCTATTGACGTCAGCAGCTGATTTTCAATTTTTTTTTTACTGTTGGCGCGTGGCTTCTCCTGGAGCTTCCAATCAAAAAATCTTGCCCAATCCAACGGCTGTCCAATTTTTGGCTTTAAAAAATTTCAAAATTTTCATATAAAAATAGCAAAAAAAAAAAAATTGGAAATTTTTTCTATAAATACCTACCAATATTATTCACTTTCCACACCAAATCTTCATAAAAATTCATCTCCTTCCAATATTTGTCACTTTTCACACCAAAATTTATACTACAAAATTCCACTTGTGCAAAAATACAAATGGCCTCTTCCATCGAAGCCGAAGGGTTGTGGACAAACGTTCGAAGAGGTCAAAACCTTGGCGACGAGGTAAAAAAAAAATTAATTGTGTTTTATTCAATTTAATGTAATTTTTTTTAAATATATATTTCTTGCATTTCCAATTTCATTTTTTAAATAGATTATTCAAGGCAAAACAAAAAAGAGGAAAACCATTACACATGGCTCCTCAAGTGAACAATAGCCGCAGTCGGATCCAGTGGTGCGTTCCATGTCGGAAATAATGGCATTATTACGTCCTCCGAAGGAAAAATATACTCCCCCATGTCGTAATCCGGTGGAACCGCCTCCGCTCATGATTGAGTTATCCTTGTACTCGATTGTGTCGGAGTATGAGGACGGGGGAGTATTCGAATTGTATGATGAGTGAATAGGTATTTCAATTGTATGATGAGTGAGATGTGAATTTTATAATAAATATGGACACATGACAACCGAAAATCTTATCCGAATATTTAATTTGAAAATGTTATCTGAATTTTTAGGTCAGAATTTTATTATAAATATTAACACTTGGTAACCGAAAATCTTATCTGAAAAGCTTATCAATTAAAGGTTTAAGTATAGAAAAGGGAAAATCAAAAAAGGAGTGTAGATGGATAAAAGGTGAGTGGAAAAATCAGTACCCTAACAAAATAGAAAATAAATTAAAGTGAATAGTGTTTGCCCTTCCCCTTGCCATTTAGGCAGCTCCAGCGCTGCATGCAAATCGGGCAAGAGGCCCTCCGAGCAAGCCCAAAGCGGCTCCAGCGCGAGAGAATTGGCCCGTACAAGCCCTGGGTCCCACCAGCCCGGGCAAGCCCAAGGGCAGGTTTTGCCTGGGCTTCAACCCTAGGGCGGCCACGTCATCGAGCGGAATTTAAAAAAAATTTACCGTTGGCGCGTGAGTTTCACGCACCAACAGTAAAAAAAAATTTGACCTCCACTCGATGACGCCAGCGCTGACGTCATCCCTGACATAATCCAATGGGCATGCGCCACGTGTCGCAATACGGACACTCCGATCGGTTTTTTTTTTCTAGAAATCCAACAGTCCTCGTTTTTTTGGCTAAAAAAAATTGAAAAATTCTGAATTTTATTTTTAAAATACCAAAAAATTTTGGACTTTTTCCCTATAAATACCTAACAATTTTATTCACTTTCCACACCAAATCTTCATACAATTTCTTCTCCTTCCAATATTTTTTACTTTCCACACCAAATCTTCATACAAACTCTTCTCCTTCCAATATTTTTTACTCTCCACTCACATTTTTCTACTACTTTCCACTTGTATCAAAAAATAAATGGCATCTTTTGTTGAAGCCGAAGGCAAGTGGACAATTCAGGAAGATATTGCGTTGTGTCAATCTTGGGTGAACGTTAGTCATTGCCCTATCACAGGCAATGAGATGAAGTTCTCTCATATGTGGAGCAAAAGTCATGGAGAATTTTGTCAAAGATCAGGTTCCATTTGGGCCGAAATGGCCTTGTCTAGTAGATGGAGAATTCTGAATAAAGAGTTAGAAAAATGGAGAAATGCCTTGACAAAAGCAAGGGAGAACGTTCAAAGCAGTCAAAATATATCCGATGAGGTAAAATATTTATAATTGCCATTTTAATCAATTTAATGTAACTTTTTTTTCTTGCATAATCCTTTTTTTTTTTTTTTTTTTTTTTTTTTTTTTTTTTTTTTTTTTTTTTTTTTTTTTTTTTTTTTTTTTTTTTTTTTTTTTTTTTTTTTTTTTTTTTTTTTTTTTTTTTTTTTTTTTTTTTTTTTTTTTTTTTTTTTTGCATTTCCGATTTATCTATTTTTTCTTGCATTTATATTTTCTTACATAATCTTTTTTTTTTTCCTTACATTTCCAATTATTTATTTTTAATAGATCATACAAGCACAAATGTGGTTCGGTGCCATGGGGCGAGGCAAAAAAAGTTTCTTGCATTTCCAAAGTTGGGAAGTTGTGAAGGATTGTTCGAGATTCAAAATTATTCCCACATGTCCGGCGGTTGTGTTGAATGAGACGCCACTCTTCGATTCGCCATCAACCGATTCGCCATTAGACTCCCCAATGGAAACGAAGACCTATTAGGAGAAAAGCGGCAAAGGCCAAGAGAGGGAGCAATTCGAACAATGAATGTGTACAAATTATGGAGCAAATAGCTAAGAACACCGCACTAAGAATTGAGAGAGACTTTAAAAGAGAAGAAGCGGACATCGCACGATAAGAAGCATTGGCAATTCAACAGCAGCAGGCACAATAAAAAGACATGGAGGATAGAGAGATGAAAATCATGGCCATGGATACGAGCCATATGTCTCCTGAAAACAAAGGCCTATTGGAAGCTAAGACGAAGGGATGTGATGAGAAGAAAACTTTTCCATGACGATGGACCTAGCAATACGAATTGGTTAAATTATCAAAACCATTAGGTTGTATTGAAATATTTGCCATATGTATTAATTTGTTGTATTGTTTCCTTTTTATACAATAAAGAAAGCATTAAATAATATGACTATTTATTAAAAACATTTGTGCATCAAAACAAAGATTAATTAAAAACAAACCTTAATTTATTGCAAACAACACACAAAACAAACCATACTTAAAAAAGCATAATAATAAAAAAAGCATAATTCCAAAAAACACCACACAAAATAAAGCATAATTCCAAACAAAGCACTAATCTTGACTTCATCCACTGTGATTGCCTTTCATCTCCCACTAGTGCTCGATCAAGTCAAGTTGACGTCTCTCGTAACATATGAAGATTGCATTTCTTGATAACGATCAAACATGGGGTTGTTGTATTGACCATCCCGAAGTAACAGTTCAGGCTCCATTGGTTGTCCATTTGGTCTCATCGGCCTTTCATATATTCTTGTCAACGTTGTGTTCATGGGATCGGGTTCAAACACCTCTGCAGCATCGTAGTCATACTCATCCTCCACAATCATGTTGTGGAGGATGATGCAAGTCATCATAATACTCCGCAGTACCTCCTCATCTAGCATCCGAGCAGCACCTCTAATAATTGCCCAACGAGCTTGCAAGATACCAAAACACATTTCCATGTCTTTCCTGTAACATTCTTAAAAGGCAGCAAAACTTTTTTCCTTCTCGGATTGGGGATTCTTGTTTTCACTAATGTCGTCCACCTAGGATAAATTCTGTCGACAAGGTAGTATGCACCAGAGTATACGATATTGTTGACTTGGTACATAATCTGGGGGGAATGACCTCGCAATGCCTCATCGAACACCGGGGATTGACCAAGGACATTGAGGTCATTCTGAGATCCGACAATCCCGAAGAAGGCATGCCAAACCCAACAGTCGAATGAAGCTACGGCCTCCAAAATTATACTTTTTTGGCCCTTCCGATTCCCGTACTCCCCTTGCCAAGCAGTAAGACAATTCTTCCACTGTCAGTGCATGCAATCGATGCTTCCAGTCATTCCTGGGAAACCTCGAGCCTCAGCTTTTTGGAGAAGACTTTGCAGGTCCCTTAGCGTGGGTTTGCAAAGGTACTCCCTCGTGTACAAATTTTCCACTACATCACAGAATCTCACCAAACACTCTAGGGCAGTTAATTTTCCCATCCTTGCAATCTCATCCATCTGCTCTACAGATGCCTCATAAGCAAGCATCTGCAAAGCAGCTGTAAGTTTTTGCTCCGAGAGAATACCCAAAACTCCAACAGCATCATACTTCTGAATGAAGTATGTGTCATAATTACAAATATCATGCGTGATTTTTTTGGAACAAATGTGGTTGCATTTTATATCTCTCTCGAAACTTAGAATTAAAGTAATCTTCCAAGAAATTCTTATCCCGAGACTCCCTACGTCTGTCCACATTCGGAGCAAGATGATGGCGGTGTTGCCTTGATTGATTAAGCATACACACCACTGCTGCAAGCATTTCTTCCTCTTCTACATCGGCCTCCTGATCTTCAATAGTACGTTTGCGCCGGATTTCTTCCTCTTCTCTCTGTTGCCTTTCCAATACCCTCCTCAAGTTTGACATTGAGAGTAGAATGTGTTTTGCAAAATCTAAGAAATGAAGGAATAGATAAGAGATGGTATGAGAGGTATGATTTGATGGTGTAGTTTTATAAAGGGATTCAGAAGATAGAGATGACACGTGGCACAATTTTAGAAGGTGAAAATCTTATCTGAAATATGACATTATAATTTTTAAAGATATCTGAAAATCTTATCTGACATGGGACACATGACATATTTTTAGAGGGTGAAAATCTTATCTGAAATATGAGATTATAATTTTTTTTTTAATATCTGAAAATTTTATCTGATATGGGACACGTGGCACAATTTTAGAGGGTGAAAGGTACAATTTTAGAGGGTGAAAATCTTATCTGAAATTTGATATTATAATTTTTTTTAATGAATGTCCGAAAATTTTATCTGGAATAAGACACGTAGCAACCGAGATTCTCATCTGAAAATCTTTTCTGAAAAATAATAGACACATGGCAACCAAAAATCTTATTTACAAAATATTATCAAAATTAATGATTTAAAGTATAAAAAAATAGGAAATAAAGTACAATAAATAGTAATTGCCTTAGCCTTAGCCTTTTGGGGTGGAACCACAAATGGCAAGGCTGTCACTATTCACGTGAATAGGGGCAGGCCTTTCCTTTGTCTTGCCTT